CCCCAAAACCCCAAAACCCCAAAACCCCAAAACCCCACTCAAAACTTGTCCTATTGAAAATCCCAAAATCCCAAAATTCCTTCAGACCTTCTATTTCCTTGTCTTCTTCGCCGTGGCTGGGCCAGGGCGAGGAACCGAAGAATTTGGGTGATTTGAAGGAATTTAGAAAGGTGATAGGTGCCTTTATGGTTAGAGATCAAGGATTATTATTTCTTTGTTGGCAGAAGGCGGGGGAGGGGTGGTTTTTGGGGTGGGAGAGGAGGGCTGGGGGAGTGATGGAGAGGTGGAGGATGGAAGATTTGGGGGGTTTAGGGATTCAACATTGCTATCGGTTTCGTTTATTTCGATGATTTCTTTGGAAGCTAAATGGTTATTCAAGAACTTGTTTTAGGGTATACCTGGCTGATGCTGATTTACTCTTATCAAGTCAACTTCTTTGTCTTCTGCAGTTTTAAGTCTTTTTGATGCAAAAGGACTTGGATTGTCTGGATCAATATGCTCCACTATTCCGCTGTGCATCTTTCTATTTCTTGTCCATTCATTTTTATATATAACCTTAATATAGTCAAAATGAATTACTTTCTTCTCAGGATATAATATCTGGCCCTTTCCTTCTGCTCTGTCATTGAAAAAATTTCCTTGAACAATATTGTTATTTTTTAAGAAAAGAATGCCTTTTCCTTGCCTAGTATCTCAAAAGTTATTCCATTCACCTATATATTTGCCTCCCTCTTCAACATTTTGAATAGGAAGAATTTTGTTATTCTTGAAGGCTATTTTACACAATTAGAATACATTAGTTAATAACTAATAGGCTAAAATTTGCCAATATATGTCAAAGAAGTTCATATTCTGATTTTAAAATGACTTAAACAAAAAAAAGAATAAATCCTAATAAGATCAACAGAATTGAAGAATTAAGAATACAGCATAACAGTTAGTATTAAAAGTCACAATCATCAAAGTTTGTTTGTTTAGAGATTCTTAGCGATCATTATCTCCCTTTCCAAATTGCAGGCCTCCATCAAAGAGGAAGCTAAATGCATTTAAATTTTACTACATTATCTTAATAGACTCGTCACTAAATAAGTATTAATAAAAGTCCCATCAACGGAGATACAAGCTGGATGATGCATTTTGGCATATTTAGACTTCCTGAGGAAGGGATTAGAATTAGACAGATGAATTTGGAAGAATAAGTGTATAGTTATAACTTACTCATTTCTACATCTGATTTGAGCTCATTGAAGCTCTTGAAAAATTCAACCATTTTGAACATCTCCATTCCTTTAGATGAGTTCAAGGATTTCTGGTGCATATCTGAGAACTTAGAGGCTGTTAAGTAATAATTAGCCTGGGTTATCAGTTCATCTCCTAAATAAAGTAGGTGAGGATGATCTTAACACAAAAATATCACTGAAATTATGGTGTCTTAATTGCTAATTTATACCTTTGTAATGTTCTAAAAATTTTGAGTAATTAATACTAATCACTATCTATCTCTCCCAAATTAGATCTTTATCAAATTTACACTTAAATATTTCAATAAATCCTCTACATAATTGCGCTCTATAACCCCTCTCCATGCCCTAAAGTCACCTCGACCCAAGTCCCTCTCCCATCCCAATATCACCTAAAAACTAAGACTTCCAATCACCTTCAACCGTCACTTCCACCTATCCTCAATAGCCCACCCAAATCCCCTAAATTTCTTACTTTTCTTCTTCAAAACAGCCAACTTCTTCTTATCATTCTCTCTGTTTTCCTTCTTCATTCCGATAAATTCCCAATCTTCCTCAACGGATGACCCAGTTTGGCTTCACTTATCTCTTTGAAAGTAGAATCAAGGGGTCCTACTTGAGTACACTTGGTACAACTTTTGTCTTATAATATCGACGCTTGGCTTGCGTCCCATTCTGGCTTTACAGAAGGGGCAGCATTTGGGGTCTAGAGGATGAAGAGGAGGTAGAATTAGGGGGTTAGAAGGGAAATTTCGACATTTTTGGGTTTTTGAGGAGGTGGATTTTGAGTAAAGGAAGCTTACTTTTGAGAAGATCGAAGCAACCAAAGCGTTCTGAATACTGGTTGGTTGTGCAGGTGTGGTTTTGGCATTTTGGGCATACAATGTTTAGATCTTTGAGCCCCTCCAATCAGATTTGGCAGGTGAGTAATTGCTGAATTTCTTCCTTTATTTTATCCATTTTTGTAAAAAATATTATTCAATTAGATCTTTTTATACAGGGGTTTTGGGGTTTTGGGGTTTTGGGGTTTTGGGGTTTTGGGGTTTTGGGG